GTAGGGAAATAGACGTCTGTCTTATGCACACAAGTAATAGAATAGGAGTGTGAAAGGCAAGTGGATAAATAGTATTTCAGGAGGAAAAGTATATAGATATGTATGAGGAAACATCTCTATATATTCATTATCTGTGCACACCTACATATACTGGTTACTTAAAAGATGAACAAACTGATTATAGTGACTAATCTATTTGGTGAATTAAATTTTGGCTTTTACAAATTGCACACAAGCAGACTAAGATTATTTTCTCCCAAAATAAACCCCCAGGATGGCTTGCAGATACTTTGTAATGAATTTTCTGTTGAGAATTTCTTATTTGTTCGCTCTTTACCTTATGTGATTACTTACCTGTAATATGTACAAAAAAAGTTTCTGCCCACTAGATGGAAGGATCCAACCTTTATAAATTTTACACAAACTTGGGTGGGAGTGGGCAGGTAGAAAAAAAAAATCTTTTTTTACTAGATTCATTTTCATAATAAGACTGGAATAATTTATCACTTTGCATGAAGAAAACTCAGGGCAGAGGTGGAGACGGCACGTTGGACTCCACAAAACCAAGCCAGTAAGTCTGCATAGCTCTGCACTGTCAGGATTTTCTTGCTTGGAGTCCCTTCAGTCTGAAGTAGAGAGTATTTGAGAGCTTCAGCAACCTATGAGATAGCATAATGAGTTCTCATGATGTCTTAATATTCTGGTGAGTTTCATAATATTGACGTTTTACGTGAAATCCATTGAAAGCTGTAAGAAATAGAAAATCTCAATATTAATCTTAAAAAATATTTCTAGCCCACATGGTTTCAGTGAGTATTGGAAAATATTTTTATTATAAAATATAAAAAATTTTAACACATTTAGAGAACTAAATAAATCAGAACACCAACATTCTGTAAGCGGCAGCATCATTCCTGAGTGGAAGGAGAAACAGAACCAGTGTTTTCAAATGTTTGGACCTGGGAATAGTGAAAACCTCCATAGTAGAGCTCTTCGGCTTACAGTGTGCCCCAAAAATATCAGAAAAATGGCGTAATCCCACAATGTCATTTCAGATGGAAGGCAACTAGAAAATTTTGGTGCAAATACCGTATTAAAACATGGAGCCATAGCTGTGCTATTTCAGTGCTGGTTTTATAATGCTGAGGTCATTGTGTGCAAAGCCATAGGAAATTTTCAGATTATTTTTGTCACCTTCCTTATAGATTCCTGAACCTGTCTCCAAGTTATTTCAGTCTTTGTTGGCCATTTATATCTAACATTCAAGTTATGATTAAACCCCAGTTAACGTTTCTCTAGGTAAAGTGCTTATCTGACTGAATATTTTGATTTTGTGTTTTAGAAAAGAGATGTCACTTCTTATTCTGGTTAAGGCAAGAGTTTCCCATTAACAAATTGAAAGATTGAAGACCTTAGGATAGTTTTAAGCATTACTGTTAGACCAATTTAAAAAAAAAGTGGCTAAAATATTCCTCTGAAGTTTTTTATAGTATATGAATACATGTATCAAATAAAGCTTCTTTTTGTACTAAAATGTTTGTATGGAACCACTAAGAGGGTATTGCAGCTGTTTGACTTCTTCAGGGCTGTCCTTATGACAACAATGAAATATATGAAAAGACCTTATTAGCTACATGTATTTAAGATATGCGATAGATTTATCTTCTGTAAAAATATGTGTGTCATGATATTATAGGATACTGTCTCTTTCTTGTTTAAAAAAAGAAAAATAAAAGCATCAGCCAGCCTCTCTGAGCAATGTTAGCTGTATGGTTTTGTATTGCAGTTCATTCATTGGTTAAGTGATAAGACCAAAGACTGACACTTCTATTATATCTAACATTATGACACTGCTGCTTCTACAAATTCTGTTGGAATGAAGAGATGACAAGTTGTAATTGCAACATGAAATTGTAACATAGTTTAGATCTGTGCAGCATTTTGAGCTGTAGATTGTCCACTTTTTTCCAGGGTTTAAATTTTTTGTCAGTGTGGTGCAGTTACATTACTGTTCATGCACATGAGGATCTTTTGGACACTACAAAAGAATATGTATTCCAAAATGTGCTAAGGCATTGCTTGTTTCAACTGAAGTTATACTGTTTTGCTTGCAAAACAGTGGCTGGACTGGATAACAGAATACACTTTAAACAATTTTAGATGCAGGGGGCTATTAAGTCCATAAGAAGATACAACCGTAAGTGTCTAGAAGGATTTAATGAAGGATGTTTAAGATATTCAGTTGCTAACACCATGTATTTTTTTAAGGGACTTGGGGTTTTTTAGATTTTAAATCATTGTCTAAAAAAAAAAAAAAATTAAAAACTAAACGTTAGACTATGGAATTTTTATCAGCTGACTCACTGTAATGCATATGTAAGTTGGATTGAAGTTAGAGTGTCATATTGTTTCAATCAGTACTCAGTAAAGGTCTGCTAACCATTTTTGTTTTGTAACCTTCATGTTAATGATTTTCTTGTGTATATAAATATATAAAAAAGATGGTAACTATTTTCTTACACATACTATGCAATATGTTTGTAAAACTGCAATATTACCAAAATTACAAAAGCTGTGCTTTTGTACTCTCTTGCTATATGTAAAACAGATCTTTTTTCTATTTAATGGACTGTCTGTCTTATAATTGTAGATAACATTATTTAAAAGCAGTACACCGAAATTTTGAGATTTTTTATTTTATTTTCCTTGGATTTTTTGTTTTATGTAAATAATAGCAAGGTTTTGGAAGTTGGAAATTGTTTTTTCTTGGAAAGCTAGAACTTCTACAACATGTGATTAACACAGGCAGTTTGAAATCTCTCCTGTACTTTTTTCATTTGGTCTTAGCATTTTCATTTGGTGCTACTATATTACAATAAATAAATGTGATATATAAAATACGAAACATATCAGAACTCATTTCAAAAATAAGCAAGCAGTAAACTTTCTAAGGGTGAGAAAACTGATGAGAAATTTTTAGTTTTTCTGTATGTTTTTATTTGATAGATTTTTTTTTTTTTGTTATTATGTATTCCCGTACTTCTGTCTACATTAGCCATATGGTAATAGCTTTAATTTGTTTTTCAAGTTTTTGTCCTCACACACAGTATACTAGAATTTTATTTCAAAAATGTTTTTGAAAACAACAGACACTGCATTTAAATGCAGTACTTACGTTAAGAAAATCCGATTTTAAAGAAGTGTAGGTTTTATTTCTACATCAGCATTACTGAAGTTAAAATTACAGTACTACATCTCATCTACCGTAAAAGCGTATTACACTACTCAAGTTCCTTTGTACCTTGGCAGAATAAGCATAAACTGTATGTTTATGTTTAAGCTGCACCAGTTTACAAACCACTTGACAATTACACAGTCTTGTAAAAGGTCTTGTGGTGACGTCATCGATGCAAACAAATCCTCTCTACATTTAAATTGGGTAGCATCAGTTCTGCTAACAGCATAGCCTTGCACAGAGCTCTGGCAAGAAGCAGAGTGAGCATTTGGTGGTTTGTTTGCACTGAGCTCCTTGATGCCATGCGACATTTTCAGCAATATCCACAGTAGCCAAACAGTAGCTAGCTGCATAATGCCTAAAAAAATCGTAATTTCTATACAAAGGCAACAGTTGTATAGAACTATCAGTAACACAGGTCCTGCTACGTCTCAAG